AGAGAGAGAGAGAGAGAGAGATAGGGAGAGAGACGGGCACATAGACTCACTCGAACACGCACATTAGCATATTCAAACAAACAAACGCACAGACAAACACACACACACGAACACACACACACAAACACACACAGACACACACACACACACACACACACACACAAACACAGACATACACACAGTCAGGAAACCCTGAAAAGAAAGAAAAACGCATGACATTACTGATAATAATCGAAATCGATGAGACAAAACACAAAATTTGAGCCGGAATACCATTTTGGTGACCTACAGTAGGCATGAAATATTCTTAAGATGAAGTTACATATTAAAAGTTTCTTTATCATTCTGTCATGCCGGAGAAATATGACCACTATTGTGCTGACCACTAGAAAACAATACACCAACAGCCGTTTCTACAGGGGCTAAGTAAATGTGCTGGGTAAAGATTCAAGAAAACGCACCACCATTCAAGAAATCGTAGCTCAGGGAACACGTTGAAACGGACGAAGATTAGTCATGGGCAGCTTTGACACACGCATGTCAAAGCTAGAATTGGCTAGCGAATGATTCTTATGACTGGCTTTTTCTATCAGCCATTTTCCTCCTCACTCACTCTCTCACGGGTTTTGAATTTATTCTCATTCACAATGTTCAAAGTGGATGTAGGGAGGCTTTTCATATTTTTTCCCCTCCGTCTTTCTTTTCATAGCAACGTTATGAAGGATAATAAATCTGGAAACGTAAGACGTTGCAACGTTGTGGCTGAATGGCATGTTATAAACCCCAGTGGCATGCATTTGATTTGATTCTGATCGAACCAATCTCGAGACCCGTCAGAGTGTTCGTCAATGGCAGAACGTTTTCTTCAGCAGACGACATGACATCTCTTTCCTCTTGAGTCGGCCGGCCCTGAAGAGCAATATTGGCTGGCTCTCGACAACGACCAGGAACTCCGAGATGAGTTGGAGAGTGAAGATGCGCAACTTACTACGTTGTCTGTCGCTCTACCACGTCGTGAATCAGCCCGTGTCAAGCACGAATCACGATATGGCTTACTTTATACGCTCTACCACGTCGTGAATCAGCCCGTGTCAAGCACGAATCACGATATGGCTTACTTTATATTAAGATCTCTGGTCGAGTTGTCTCTCCGTTTCAATTGCTGCGAACCGTCTTTTCCCTTCTTTTCTTCCTTGTTTTCTTCATTGTTAGGTGTACATAAAGGTTTCCGACACCTAGACCTTCACTCCCTCGTCTTTTACTCTACAGACAAAACACTTCTAGCAGTGTGTATGGTGCACATGTTCAGAAATTAGCCTTGCAATCAGTTGATACGTGGGTTGTTTCTCTGGCGCTCTGGTTATTTCTGTTCCTTCTTGTCTTAAATTACTCTTAGGTAACACTTCTAATCTTCGTCACTTTTATTACCTAATTGTGTTGCAAGTGTCGTAAAACGTAGTGAGACTAAAACTGAAACTAAAATTCAGTTGGTATTTTATTCGACTTCCCAAGCAACCGTACAGTTTTAGTTTTCAGGGAATTATGGTTCTTTGAAACTGCTTCTAACCCTTAGCAGGCCAGCGATAAAACGTTGATACCACTTTTTATAGCACTGGCTTGTTACATGAATTATGATAGATTAGAACTTGACGAAAAAAATGTACCGTTCACCCCTAGCACTACTCTCAAAATCCATCTTTTTGTTTTGATTTTGCAGTTAAACAAGAAACTGATTGAGAAAGTCAACATTGGGGGTACTGAGGCTGTCTTGAAAGGTAAGTCTTTTAAAAACATGATCAGTCTGTTGCTTTTAAAAACATGATCAGTCTGTTGTGTTAGGGATCTATTTTGCTTCTCATGTTTTTACACGTTAGTTGTCTGTGTTACAAAGAGTGCTGTGTGTGTATGTGTGTTTGTGTGTGTGTGTGTATGTGTGTGTGTGTGTGTGTG